ACATACGACCCACAATGTGGGCCCAGGAGGAAGATAATCGGTGTGCGCGATCCAGCATAGTTTTCAGTGTCAGCTAATTTAGTGTTACACCTCACCACAAACTTCATTTTTTATTTCTCCTTGACAATGGCGTCATGATGACACCGAAACGTCGGTTTTTATCGTTAGTTTTTGCTAGTCTTTGAATTTTGCTGAAGACAGCCAATTAACGAGAAGTAAGTATGGTCACCTTTCTACTGAGTGGCCTGACACTTAGCATTAAATGGTCAAATTCTAAAACTCACCTGAGGTATTAACTTTAAATTAGATCCCTGTTGAACTTAACAGTGACCTTTGTTATGTGAATGCTGTCAGCCTTAGTACTTTCCAAATGTCTTGTTCTAGTGTACTTCACTTCTTTCAAACCATACTTAGTTAATCTCTAATTGAGACATAATTAGTCTGGCTACCTATTAAGTGTTCCTTCCATTGTGTCCAGCTTATATATCACTGGCTCAAAGCAAAATCAATGATTTTTTTCATCAGAGAAAAAAAATTACAGACTATCATGGCTTATTTAGTACAGTGCATGTAGCTCTGAGTGGAGTGACTGTTGTACTATTATTATAAATATTTTTGTAACTTCTTTTTACCATGAATAAGCTTCAAATAAATTTAACAGGTTTTGCCTCACATTGGTTACTGAATAGATAAGTTCTAATTAATTTCAAAATCACCATTAACTACATCACTCTGTGGATTTTAGTCAACTCAAAGGAGGCCCATAATACGGGTTTTACTTACTTTAGGATTTTAAGCAACTGGAGGGTTACTTATGTGTATTTGTTTATGGTTTATTTTGTTTTTTTAATTAGTTATTGTTTAAAAAGTGTACTTTATCAAAATTTACTAATAGATGAGTATTGTTTCTGGTCTGTCAATGCAGATTTTGTAAATAGTGTTTGCCTTGAACTATCTAATAAGTCATGATTCTGATCATATATATATCATAAGTTGTTGGTGGAACTCTCAAGCCAACAAAGGTGCACCGCGCCAGGAGGATCAATAAAGATTTGCAGTCCAAACCTCACAGCAAACACAAATGTAGAAAGTTTAAAAAATGGACAACTTCTGACGTAAAAAATATAAAAATTTTTTTAATGAAAAACGTTTCAGTCAGAGACCTTCTTCAGTTATTTACAACTTTTAAAATAAAAGAAGAGCATTAAATAGGATCAAAGTGCTAATGATTATGTAATTACTGATAACGACTAATGAACTGGTGCTAATAAAAAGATAACAAGAAACCCAATTACAAAGAAGCAATGGACAAAATACAAGAAGCAAACCCTAAAAACTAAGAGATAAGAATACTAAATATGTTAATATGAGTGGCGTAACCAATTGCAAAGAAGCTATGCGGCAAGCATTAAAAAAGGGAAGACCCACCTTTAACTACAACTGTAAACCGTAACAAAATCCCAAAACAAGGCCTTTGGAGCCCGAAAAGGCAAATTGGCAACAAAATCCCTGGAGTGGCCCTGAACTGATACTAATCATAATAAGATCACTTGGCAGGGCCTCTGAGTCCAATCCACACCTAAAGGGCCGACAAATCCAAGAAAAGGGCCTTTGAACCATCACTTAGTAGCGCCTAATATAAGATGGGAAATTAATTATAGAAAATTCTATTTTTACAAATGAAATTCCTTTCTTTTATTCAAACCATGGGGTGCCAAAGAGAACAACTGAGCACTCCAATAAGCCTCTTTAGTGATTAAAAGCCTATCGATCTCTATAGAGCCACTAGGGGCCTGTACCTGATCAATGCATTGGAACGAAAAATCGTCCAGGATGTGTGGGATTTTGTTAAAGTGTATCGCTACTTCGCAAGTTGTTTTGTTTGTGAGCATAGTAGATTTGTGATTTCGAAATCTCTCTTTAAAGTCATATATTTAGGTTTTCTCATGGTGAATGGATCTCAGAGAGCACTCAACTCTTGGAGGAGCAATTGTATACTATTTTGAAACCAGTTCAAGACATCATGAGTGATTCATCGTTATATTGCTACAGTCCTGTTTTGTATGGCCAAAGGTTGGCCACACTCATCAGGCAACATCAACAAATGACCATCAAATTTAAATGCTGGCGGTTTTGATTTGAATTTAAATGGTGGCACGCGCGGTTAACACGGTTGGTATTGCGTTCACCATTAGTGTGTCACGCTATATGAAAGTTTTGGAGCACGTATCTATTCCTGTGGGGGCATGAGGTCGCTAATTCATTTTGATTGTTAAGGGTATATAGATCTTCTCTGCAGATTATGACAAATTTCTCATAAATGCACAAATTACATTTTTTT